GGGAGCAACAGTCCGGTTCCTATTCCCCTGACAAGTCAGGCCCCAGTGGACCGCATTGATTATTTCCCTGAGGAAGGATGTACCACCCTTCACCCATGCCTAAGTAAGCGTGGCTGTTGCCAATCCGTCTAACCCCCGTCCTGCTCCTCGCAGCTGTGATGTTGTCGGGTAGGTGTGTTATGCTAGAGCGGTATGGAACGCATACGAGCCTCTTGAAATCTCTAATACTCTAAACCCTACTTGCCTTGTTTCTGTCTAAACCCTAAACCCTGAGCCCTCAGTTGTAATGCTGTTGTGATTTACCAGCTCCAAGTCCTTAAAAAGTAAAACATGTGCTGTTTTTAAGCCCTAAACCCTGAACCCTCTTCCTTTCTCTATTTGGGCTGTGTACCCTTTTCTTTCCCTCGGAAGACTGCTTTTACTGCTACTTTCCTCTAGCTACCCTTCTATCCGTTAACTTAAATTTGGTTATTCTGTTCTGCGCTATTCGTAAGATCTATCTTGTTGTTAGGATTTGCCTATCACCGTCCGTTGTGGAATCTCATATTGCTGTGTTCTTGGGGCTGGTCTGATTGGACTTTTCCTGTTATGGTCTATATATTAGACTAATCTGGGAGTATGTTAGCTTCTAGGGACTCGGGGATACTGTTTACCGAGCGGTCTTGCGACTGGTGTCTTGGTGGGGATTCTTCCCGTAATCGGAACGAGTTTCGGATCAGAGTGACTTTGCCTTTTGCTAGGAAGTTTTCTTCGAACTTGTATTGATGTCTTTGGCTTTGTCTTCGTCTTCTTTCATCCTTTTGCATACTTTGCGCCATAGGATCCAATATTCAGTTTCCACCTGTTGTTGGAGTAATCCCCACACTTCTTGGGTGTGCATTTTTTTGTTTTTCTATTGTTTCTTGGCATCTTTTCCGCCGTATTACCCATAGTGTAGCTTTTCCGAGTATTCTGAATAAGTTAGATTTTAGTGGGCTCCAATTTTCTGGGCTGTTGAATCCTAGAAGTAAGAGTATGTTGTTGCTTGTGAGAGTTGTGCCTATTACTGTATTCCATAACCTTGCTACCTTCAGCCATAGTGGTTTGATTCTAGGACACAGGAGGAAACAGTGAAATAAGTTTTCTAACTCCCTATGTTTAGCCATTGGTTCAGTGGGACTGCTAGGTAAAGGATTAACCATTACAGGGTTCTAAATTTGGGCGGGTTTACAGACGCTATTCTGTTCCATGGTATCGGGTCTCGTGCTTCTGGTTGCGTCTCAACCTATAACCTAGCCTGGTTATGTAATGTAGTAGGTTGAATTTGATGTTAATTCCTGAGGTTCCTTGCTTTAGATTCCATGCCCATTCTGCTGGGTCCACTTCTAGGTTCTCTAATAGGGTTTGGGGGCAATAGATGGTTCACTCTTCGTTTTCTATTACTCTTATCTTCCTTAGGTCATCTTCCCAGACTGAAACTTGTCCTGTCTGATTTTTGTGGATCTTCTGTGAGTTGATTTGTTCTATCCCATTCTTCCTTTTTACATTTGTTACGATCCTCGCCATTTTCGAAGTCCACATTCATCAGAAAGTACAATGCAGTCCAATTGCAAAAAGAAATGAAAGAGCTTGAGAGGAGAGAGAGGGAAAGAAGAAGAAGAAGAAGAAGAAGAAAGAAAGAAGAAGAAGATGATGTACACCAGCATGGACCAATGATAATGCTCTTCTTCTTCGCCAACCACTCTCCTCCTCCGTATCTCCTCCCCTCTTATTAAAACAAGAAATAACAATAATAATGTTGAATGAAACCAGAATCAATGTCTGAATCCTTCTTCTACTGCAGGCACAACATGAGGTCCACCATAGCCAGTGCCATCCTTCCTCTTCATCTTCATGTAGGCCGAGGCTATGGCGGACTACTGAGGGATCTGCCCTCCTGTCCAAAGGACAACCCAAACAGCTATGTCGCTGCCCTCCTGTCCAAAGGCCAACACAAAGCAGCTATGCCGCTACTCATTAAGCCGTCATGTCTGACTCTGCCTCAAGCTTCCTTGGTGCGGCACTACCCCAACTGGGGCCTTCCAGATGCAGCGCCTATAAAGGTGATGAAGATGGTGTCACCATAGCCAGGTAGATACCTCGCCACTCTCCTCCTCTGTCCTCTTCTCCCTCCTCCTACCCGTAAAGCTCCACCATAGCCAAGGTGGGAGCTCCTGGTCTTCCTCCTAGCAGCGCTGTAGTACCCAGCGCTCCTCCAGCCAGCGCTCCAGCAGCATGTCGCCAAACTTGCACACCGAAGAATGAGGCTGAGATCTTGGCTCAGCCTCAAGATATAGCGGCCTACTTGCCTCCTGGGTGGTGACTTCCAGGCCGCTCGGCCTGCCAAGCAACCGGTACCTCCTCCCTTTCGGAGGGAAACATCATTGCAGACTCTGATATTGCCCGTACAGGCCCTAGACTCAGACTGGATGGACTGGTACCCTCCTAGACCTAGCCTACCGCTACTGGACCTCTAAAAATGTCAACTTTGTCTTCTTCTGCTCGGCCTCGAGTACCCGGCACATCTACTTCTACTTGGTGTGGTACCGGCCTACCTGATACTTGAGTGTTTTTCCGCTGCTCTAAGTGTCGTGGGCCTCTTGCTCCGCCACTTTCCCCGCTGCAACCCTCAATGTCATGGCCACAGGTAAGTACCGGCCCTACGGGCCTCCAAAGTACCCTTGCGGGTCACACACACACACTCATGCCGACAAGCACTCAGACAGGCATGCAGGTCACCAAGCACACGCGCACACACAGACTTAGAAAACTAAGCAGAATGCCGGAATCTCAGCAAGGCATCCATTCCATCGGCAGAACTCAGAAACCAGCAGTGTTCTCAGTCTGTTTTATGGCAAGTCATTACACATTTGTTCCTTAATGTAGTTGTTTCCTAATTCTTCCTTTATTGGTTGTCCTCGGAGTGTCTCTCCTCTTCCTCTAAGTCACCTGTGCACCGGATCATGCTATCCCAATCCCTGAACTTTAGGTACCCTCTTCTAGTTTTTTTCCCCCTAATAGCCATTTTTCGTCAAAGGCTTTCTGGCTAGTCTCTCTCTTCTTGGGGTCCATTAGCTTTTCCTGTTTCTTTATTTCCTTTTCCCACAGTGACCTAATATCTGTCTCCGTGATTTCCTTTGTCTCTTTCCATTCCGTTTCACCCATTGTCTTCTGGTTACCAAGTGTTCCTTTGCATCTGGATCTCCATGTGACTGATAGTGTTGCTCTTCTCAATAGAGCCGCTATGGCCTTTTCTTATTTTTCCAGGTTTCCTTGACTATCCTTCCCCGAAAGGAGGTAGTCCGAGTGCGACGGGAACGGGTTTGGGGAGATGTTAGACCAGGCTGCCTTGACTGCTTTCCATAAAGTGTCAGCATGGGGACATTCAATCAGGCAGTGAACGAGTGATTCAATTTTGTTGTCATTGCACAATTTTGCAGAGTGCGGTTTGTTATGTTCTTTGATCGGCCTTCCTTCACAGGTCTAGCCATTCGTTGACGGGAGCTGCCCAATATAGGATCAGCCATTGCAGGCTTCTAAATCTAGTGGGCTTTATGCTGCTATGGTAATCCCAGGGGATTTGCGTAGGCCATCCATGCTCCTCACCCAGATGCTTGATCCATCTTTTTGAGATGCGGGTCTACTGTCTTATTTCTTATCTTATACCCTGCCTTTACTTATAGTCTTGTATATTGACATCTTTCTAGCTCTGCCCTTACCCAGTTTAACATACCATCCCCATTCTACTGGGTATACTTCCAATTCTCTGACATCTTTGTCCGGTCGGAATACTATCAAATTCTTGGGAATGTTTTCTCTAACTGGGGATTTGCTTCTCTCTTTATGTCTCCACGTTCTGACCTTCCTCATATTCTCTAAATTGAATTCTAGAGTTGTTTTCTCTCTTCTTTAATTTCTGCTATTATTCAGTATTTGCCATTTGGTGTAAATCTAAATTCCGCTATGTTACTCGGATTACTTACGTGCTTGATAAATTTGAGGGCCACTGAGGGTGTTGCCTGACCATTATCTGCTGCCCAATCTCCTGCCTCCTATTTGATCTTTCTCTTTAGCATGGCTCTCCATTCTAGTGGTATGCTGTCTATCATTTCCCCACAGTTTCTTTCCAGGTTGTGACATCCTTTAGTTGTTGTCTCATCTCTAAGGTCGTTTTCTATCTCTTTTTCTCTTCTTTCCAGATATGTTCTATTTTCCTTATTCCCTTCTCTACCGACTTTCTCCATCTTCTACCTTTGCTAGTTAAGGTCCATGGTTCATCTTTCCCGTCCAGAATAAGGGGGTTACCGAAAAGCGGTTGCCTCAAGACCTCTTCCGTTGTTTTTGGTTTTCTCAACTTTTCTGACCTTTTCAGGGAAGGCATCTCTCCAATGATTAATAAGTGTTTTCCAGTGCTTACTTGGTCTGTTGGTTGTTATTCCCTCCTCTACTTTCTGCCCTTGGGGTCCATGCTGTGTTCATTAACCAGTGATATCCTTCCATGCGCGGGTCTGCTTAAAAAGGTACCAAATTCCGGATCTGATATAGTGCCATGTCGTGCCACGGTAGCTCCTTAATTATCCATTTTGTTTGTAGAGCTTTGTATTCATTTGCTGGATTTATCAATCCTAGCCCTCCCTTTTTTACTGGTCTGGTTATGTACTTCCAAGCTAATTGCGAAATGAAGGCTGCGTCTCCTGTCCAGAGGTATGACCCCGCCTTTTTCATCAGTGTTGAGATGAAGTGCTGGGGAGGGCCCCATAGAGAAGATGGATGTGTCTAGTACTAAAGCCCTTCCCATGAGCAAAATATAAACCTTCTGCCAACCCGTTAACTTGTTTATGATTTTGGCAAGTATGTTCAGGCCTGTGCTATCGCTTTCCGCTGAAACTGTGCTTCCCAAAAATCTCATGGGTTCTTGGGGGCTGATCCACTGCAGGCCTTGTGTGGCTATTGACTCTGGGGGGGAAGGCTGAGTAGACAACCACCAACCCACCATTTTGTTCCAGTCGATCTTCATTTCTGAGGCTAACTGGAATGCTTGCATCGTTCTTGTCAAGGCGTAAAGGATGAGTATGTGGCTCTGATTACGACCATTAGATCATCCGTGAATAGCATGACCGTGGGGAAGGAGATAGATCTGTCGGTTCCGTAGAGGACGAGCCTGTCTATCGAGGGGACTTTTCATAGAAAGGCCGCTATTGCCTCCATTACGAACATCGAAGTCGAAGACCAATGTACGTGACGTCATCACCAATGCAGACCGCCAGCATACACCAGGTACGTTCTCTCTCCTCTCACATCACCCTTTGACTTCCCACAGTGTGCATCCCCGACACCCAAGGACCACCATCACCATCACCAGCCTCAGCTGAGCAAGCCTGGCTATGGCTTCTCAGCGCCCGCTGCACCAGCAGCGCCCAACACCACAATGCGCCTGTGTGTGCCTCTTCCGGCCCTTGGCCTACCAGCAGCCTCCAGCACTCAAACCAGCAGCGCTGCCACCAGCAAGCACACGGCCAGAACCCCCTCTGGCTACCGTGCTCACTTTCCTTTATGGAAAGTGAGCTCTGCTTTGTCGAGCTCTGGGCCTGGCTGGACGAGTTTCCAGTAGCTTCCAGTCGGGCCCCAGTGTCTGCGCCCAGGTCCCCAGTTTCTGTGATGGGCCTGGGCCCCTTTCCAATTGGCCACGCCCAGGTAGCCCACGAGGCTACAAGTGTCCGCCGCGATCTCACTGGCTGCTGGTCAGTGTGTGACAAACATGCTGCATTCTCATTGGCCCGCGGCCGTTCTGTGATGTGTCGGCCTCTGGTGGCTCACGCCCAGGGCCTCAACTGTACGTGCCCTGGGCTCAACTGCCTCTCGAGCTGCTGCTGCCGGAATGAGCCAAGAAAAAAGCTCACGTTACTCTGTAACCAACTGGTGTGCTGCAACTGTCTGATACCCGACATGCAGAATTGACAAAAATAGGCCTCTCGTAAATATTCTGGCCCGCCTTCACTTAGGGCGGGCACAAGTCTGTACGGGGCCTCGGCCGAGATGTCGGGTGAGCCCTAGAAGGGCCACTCCGCAGATTCAGGCCCGCATATAGATTCCAACTGCCCTTTAGCGTGATCACACTGGCCTCTGGCACATATTAGCAGGCCTGCCTTCACTTAGGGTGGGCAAGGCCTTTTCCAGCACTGCCGAGGGCTCAAATCCTCGCATGGTTTAGGATTATCATTCCCATCCGGCATCCATGCTGACGGTACGTCCTAACCCTCTTTGCTCTTCCAACTGGCAGAATAGTCAGTCCATCCAGCCAACAGATTCATTGTGCGATTGAGTGCACACCCCCAGCACCGGACTCAGCACCTCTCAGTGTCAGGTGCAACTCAGGCATGCAACCACTTGGCCTACTTATTTAGGCAAGCATCAAACAAGAAGAAAAGGCCTGAAAAACAGAGTGGAAACTTAGTAGATCAATGATTGGCGATGATTGGTCAAAGTTCTGTCAAACAGAGAAAAATGGAAGTGCGTTGACCAAAGCTCTAATAGTGAATCTCTCTCTTCTTTTCCCCCTGCTTTTCTCTTTTTTGTTGAGATTGAGTGAGTGGCTTTAGCCACTTTCCTTTGGGGGTAAGAAATGTGATCAATGAGGGATTGATTACCTGTAAGGAAAGCTTGAATGAAAAAGAACCCTGGGAGCCAGAATACGATGGGTGGTCCTCGATCCAGCCAATCTGGTCAAATACACGAGAAGGAAACGGGGGGGGGAAGTCAAAAAAAGAATTGAAAGGTATCAGCATCTACTTCTGTCACGTCACTTGTCACCCCCCCTCAAATAGGGGACAATCCCCTGCCAGAAGTGCTACCCAGTGCTACCCTGGGGGCAAGGTCGCACTTGGACGGATTAAGAGATGTATTGCCCGTAGATAATTCACATCGGCAGCCAGTAACGCTTAATCCATTCGAGTGGGACCTCACCGTCGTAGTAGAAGTTGCCAATAAAGGGCACTCGAGTTCCATGGCCCTTCTTCTCAAACGGTGACTCCTGCACTGCCCAGGGTTACCCTGGATGACAGGCGGACACCAGGAAGTTTCCGTTAAACGACCACTACCTCAGAGCCTCTTTTTCCCGTTGGGGGGTTCCACTGCATGCCAAACAAAAACGAACCGCCACCAGCGCCACGGGCAAAACTTTCTTTGTCTTGGCTGGCGCCACCAGCAATTTTGGTCTGGTAGCAATGTTCATCAGAAACTTGCGGGATATATTCTTACAGCTACAGGCCTACTAGATCTGTCTGGCACACACACGTATTCCATGGCCCTTGACGCAATTCCTCAAAGTGCATGTCCATGGTCTCTTAATTAATAGCAACAATTACATGTACACTTGATCTTATCCAAAAGGCCGAGAAAGGTTTGACAGCCATGCACCCTGCCTCTTTTATTGCTTTTTCAAACTCGGCGTGTGACTGACATGGCGGCACATGTTTTTACTTCCTATACGAAACCTGTTTCCTCAATATTTATTTGCCAGCTTGTTATTGCAATCAGACTCGCTTTCATTCACACTTCACATGCACGTAAACAGGTTGTGCAGCAAACTGGCAACACGCGCCCACTCAAAACTCAGAGATATGGTGATCAGAAACACAGTTCAGATACAATCTCACTGTAGATGGCTATGGCGCATCAGCGCCTATACAAATCTCTGTCCGTCACTCACACAACACTGCTGTTCACACACCGGACCACCCTGGATACCCCACACAGAACACCCTGTACACCCGTACTCACCTGCACACACCTACAGCTATGCCGGCTATGGCCGCTGCTACCCTATCGCTATGGCTAACTTCTTCTCGCCCACTTCGTCCTCGGGCTCACTGCAGACCACCTCGCACAAGTCGCTATGGCAGCGCTTCCGCATGGCTGACACAGGAAACGAATGAATTGCTGGTCGCTGCCTCTCAATTTATACTTCTGTAGCTCGTTGGTCTGGCCCTTTCCCATGCCCGTGGTGCACACAGTCCCGTACGGTACTTGCTGGACTGGACTAGGACTGACTGGGACTGGGACTGCTGACTCAGCATGGGTAGACTCCACCACTTGTCCACTTGCCTCTGTCTCAAACGTGAGCAGCTTCGAAAGGCCACTTCCGGACCTTCCGGAGTTCGTGGACTTGGCCTTTCGAGTACTGTAGCAGCTACGGCCTTGATGCAAGGAATATGAGTGTGAGCGATATACATAAAACCAAGTTGCGAAATCACACAGCTGAGCAAGTAGTAGTATCCCAAGTAGAGAGTACAAATGCACCGAGAAAACCATCCATAAAGAGCAATACAATGAACTTGAATGAAGTATTGAGCCAATGTCCAAGCCCGTAGGCCACACCAACACAGTATCCAGAGTCGCTCTCTCTGTCTGGCGCACAGCGCCCAGCCTACTCTACCACACTATCCTACTCTACAGCTGGTTCACACAACAAGATCACTTCGGCTCACGAAGACCAATGTACATGACTGTCAACACCATCGGCGACCTCTCTTCATGTACCAGGTACGTATCTCGTCACCATCAATCAGACCTTGATTATCCCACACAGCGCCTCACTCCCTGAAGACCACCCGATCATCCGCTGTAACCCCTGGCGCCCAGCAGCCCGGCTATGGCTGCCTGCGCCCAGCTGCCCTGCAGCGCCCCTCTCACCACCTAGCGCTCCGTCAGCGCCCCTGGCATTAGTGCAGCATCAAGCAGAAGCGCAGCAGCACTTCCGCATTGCCAGCGCTGGCCAGTGTGCCTGGCCTGGTCTCCCTCACTTCCTTTATGGAAGTGTCAGCCTCTTGGATGCTGCGTGTGGCCTGGCTGGAAGCTTCCAGAAGCTTCCGGTTGGGCCCCAGACCCTGTGCCCAGGCCTGAGACTTACAGTTGAGGGCCTGGGCCCTTTTCAGTTGGGCACGGCCTGGCTGTTGGCTGTATCTGCGCAGGGGCCCCTGATAGATGCGTCGGCAGTGCTGTTTTTTTCCCAAGGGCCGACGGCCTGCTTCTCAATGTATCGGCCCTGCTTTGTGTGTATATGCCCAGGCACAACTTTCGTGGCCTGGGCCAACTGTACGACGCAGCTTAGTGAGGCTCGCGCGTTCACTCAACCAACTGACGCGCTGCGAGAGCCTGAATACCCACATATGGAAATGTCGAATTTGGCCTGTGACGAATATTCAGGCCCGCCTTCACTTAGGGCGGGCACTTGGCTTGCTGGGGCCTTAGCCCAGAACAATGTGATGTCTGATAGGGCCACTCGAGGGCTCGTTCCTCACATTCCATCCCCCTTATAGCTTCGAAAGTCCGCTGAGATGCTTCACGCTGGTGCCTTCCCCTTCAGTTTCTTCTCATAATCTGCCACAATCTGAGGAGCTGTCTTGACAAGTTCCTCCCTTGAAATCCATCGATTTTCCTTCGGATCTGTATGATGCCTGAAATGTACTCTGTATTCTCGCAGGTTTGGGAGGTCTTCCCCTGCTAGGTGGCTTGGGAACAGGCGTGTCTCTGTGATCCAGAATGTCGTCGACGTCCACGTGGCCACCATGGTTGGGGGCAGCATAGATCTCCGTGATGGGAACTGTGCTGTCTCAGCGAAAGGTGCAAGCTTGGAGGCGTGGAAAAAAGGGTAAGTACGCAAGTGACCAGGGATACGAATGACGTATGAGGGACCATCCAAATCATTCCCCACAATGTCTAGGACTTCCCAGGGACCGAAATACTCAGGCATTAATTTCCTAGAGATGCCAAACTCCTGTCCCAACTCACTAGCCTTGACCCAGACTCGTTCCCCTACTTGAAATGTGGACTGTCCGCGATGCTTGTTCTCATAAGCAATCATGGCTTCCTGAGATTTCTTGATGTGTTCGACAGTCTACTGCAACAGTTTCTCATACTGGACACCAAATTCAATGGTTCCGGGAGTCGCAGCAGTTCGGTTTTCAGGCAGGAGGAAGTCTAGAGCAGATCTAGGCTTCCACCCGAGATGTAGTCCATTAGGACTGACGCCGGTGGTGTTGTGTACAACATTGTTGTACAGGCTGGCGATGAGAGGTAATTTTTCATCCCAGTCATCCTGGCTGGGCTTGATGTAATGCCTCAGCAGATGCTGCACCACTCGGTTCATCTGTTCAGCCTGCCCATTTGCTTCTGGATGATTCCCAGAAGTCATTTGAAGCTGGCTGCCCATCTGTTCAGCGACCTTCTTCCACATCTCGCTTGTGAATCTCACATCTCTGTCACTAACGATTGTCTTTGGAAGTCCAAAGTCACGCACCCAGTTGTCCATGAACAACTTGATGACGTGCTCAGTCCTAGCAGTCTCTGGCATGGCGATTAGTCTAGCATACTTAGTGAACCTGTCCACTATGACGAAAATGTGCCTCTTGCCATTCTTGCTGGTTACAAGAGTATCCATGAAGTCCATGGAGATACTCTGACCTGGGCCAGCAGGAATGGGTAAAGGCTTGAGTAACCCAAGCGGAGCTTCAGCTCGCGGCTTGTCCCGCTGACAGACCTGACAGGTCTCCACGTACTTCTTCACATCGTCAAGCATGTTAGGCCACCAAAATCGCTGTACTAGATTAGCACTAGTCTTCTTATAACCGAAATGTCCTGTTGCGTCGTGGCACTCACCTAAAATAAACTCCGCAAAGTTTCCCTAGATGGAACAACTAACCTCTTGAACCCTGCCTTCTCAAGAAAGAGCAACCCATCCACCATAACAAACTCACCAGTGGTGGCCTTGTCTTTAGCCTGTAATTTGTTGATGATGTCCATCGTGATGGTATCTTCCTTGTAGGCTTCCTCCAAAGATCGAGTTACATCTTCAGATAGACCAAACTCAGAAATCAGCGCACCTAGGTAATCTGCCCTCCTAGACAATGCGTTTGCAACCTTGTTGTACTCTCCCTTCAAATAGTCTAGTTTGAAATCATATTGATCTATGACTTCAATCCAGCGTTTGAGTGCATTTGAGAGAACTGGTTGAGTCTTAATCCACTTGAGTGTCTGATGGTCGGTTCTCAAATAGAAGAACCTTCCGAACACGTAGTGCCTCCAGTGGACAAGTGCCTTGTAAAGAGCGTAGAGTTCCCTCTCGTAGGCGGACTTTGCCAACTTCTTTGAAGGCATCTTTTTGCTCATGTACTCGATCGGTTTCAACTTCTTCCCTTCCTGCTGAGTCAGCACTGCGCCAATCCCATATTGACTTGCGTTAGTGGTTACAATGAATGGCCTTTGCGGGTCGGGTACCATGAGAACCTCACGATGCGTGAGAGCATGCTTCAAACGCTTGAAAGTTGCCTCACACTCGTCGGTCCAGTCCCATGGTGTGTCGAGTCGACTTAGATCAGTCAAGGGAGATGTGATCGTGCTATAATTCTTTACGAAATTGCGGTAATAACCACACATTCCCAAGAATGATCTGACCTTAGTCACTGACTGGGGTCGTGGCCAGTCACGTATGCTAGCCACCTTAGCATCTTCGGGCCTAATCCCATCCGCGGATACTTCATAACCCAAGTACGGGATTCAAGTGCGACCAAACTCGCATTTCTCCGAGTTTATCTTATACTTGTGTTGTCGAAGGAGTGAAAGTACTGTGTCTACATGCTGAGCATGCTCCTCGACAGATCTACTGAAGATAAGTATGCCGTCGAGGTACACGACAACAAACTTATCCAAGTAGTCATGGAAG